TATTAGCAAAACTTAAATAAATTTGACCATCAAAATAATAACTTTAAATTAGCCGTTGAAACAAAAAAAGTCAAAAAAAAATTATGTGTGAGGAGGATTAAATATACCCATATGGGATTATATTTTTAGAAAAATAATAATAATAAAAATATTAAATTAAAATTAAGTTTTTCACTTCCGTTAAAGGAAAAGGGTATATGTGAGTCATTTGTATAGCAATAGGGGCATATATGAGCCACTTTCATAATGAGGGATATATCAGCTCTAATTGATAAAGTTGAGGGGTATATCAGGCCCTTTTCCCTACTTTTATTTTAACTGAGAATTGGCAGCTAAATTTACCAGTTGCTGTTACTGTAGCGAATGTTTGTAGCAGTTGAAATTTTTGAGCAACAAAAGTTCATCATAACGTATGATTTCGTGGGGACTTGTAGTCCACTAATCCTTATCTTTTTGTTTTTTTTGGCCTCCTCTTTCCATGGCCTTGTAGGTGAATGAATTGTAGGAAATTATGCTCAATGACCTTGAAAATGAGTGATTGTGAACTTTTGACCCTGCTTGTCCCATTGAAAAACTTTCAAGATAAAATGTGAAATTTGAAGTTTTGTCCATGGGAAAAGCGAGGTCCAACGTACAAAACCGCCTACTTCCAAGGCTGTAAATCATCCAATGAATTGCATTGAAGGTAAGATCTTTCTCTTTCAGCATCATAATTCCTTTTTCCTCCCTTTTTAGGTTGGGTCTACATGGTCAAAAAAGCTCAAATAAAAACAACACCTGTCCTTGAATATATATAGTAGTCTGAGCTCGAACGCAAGCTAAGATAAAAAGGATGCTTTAATTATTGGAATTATGTTATAGGTTCAATTAGACTCATGATTGGATCTGAATTTGTCTTACCTGCTATAGTTACTAGGACCAATATTTGAAATCTTCAATCGTTAGTTTTTGTAATACATCAATATAAATGGTCCTGCTGTAATAGCTAGTTTCATTTCAATACTTAACTCAATAAGAGTGAAAAAGGAAGGCTTTATATGAATCCTTGAGCAACCAGCTGAGAATGGGAATAAAATTTGCTAGTGTTGGTAAATAGATGAGTCAGTGGGATCCAGATAGGCCAAAGAGGACAGCACAAAGTAGTTGATCAGTACTGCAACGTACACAAGAACAACCCAGACACATGTCGACAGCGCGGAGTCAGGATTTTCACTAAAGGGGGTTCAAATTTTGAATAAGTGAACACACTAATCATACATAGATAATATAATTTTCCGTTGAAGGAGTTCAGATGAACCCCCGACTATAAGTTGGTTCCACCCCTATTCACGATTTAAAATATATTAACTCAATTCACTATCAAATATTTAGTGAAGTTCTTAATATACATACGAAATCTAGGTAAAAATTAATAAATTCATGTGAATTTATATATTATACTGTAGACCCGCCCCTATTCCCAAATAGGCAAACATCAAATATAAAATGTGATGGCCACCATAAGGATATATACTTTTAATTATCCATCGCACACACATATACAGCAAGGCAATCGCACGCGCAAAATTGCTTTTGGTTAGTTAATTCAAATTTTCTAAATTTATATACTGCACTAAGTGTCTCTTGCATATCAAGTTGCAAAAATATCATGTTTTAATTGTGTAAAGATTTTACTATCATCAACTAAAATAAATGGTATAATTTGACCTAATAATGTATAGTAACTTTTTATGCTATCAAATTAAGATGGCCTACTAGGCCTCATATGGTATATTGAAAAATAAAATTTTAAACCTGCAATAATAATAAGGTAACATAAGAAATAAAATATGAATTAATTAATGATTACTTGGGAAAAGAGTAGGCTATCCTTTATTAGAATCTATATATATAAATAAACATAGCTAAGTTAGAGAAAAATAACAATCCCAAAGTTACCACCCCAAATTAAGGAATTAAAACCCCACGAGTATTTGTTTTTTTATGGCCTGAAAACACTCCCCCACTTTCCCTTTTCTTGCCCCCACCCTTTACTATAAAGCTAAAGCAAGAAATTTAAAAACACAAACAAGGATATACTCCCCTTCTTTTCCATTTATGTTAACATATTTTGAAAAATATGTAGATAAATATTAAATATGTCATAACCTTTGTATCAGAAGCGAAGTCATAACAAAACCTGATAACTTTGGCCCAACAATAAACAAAATGAGAGAAATAATTCAGTATCAATATACGTAAAATTTTGGATAAAACTTCCTCGTTAAAAAATAAAATGAGAAGGTGTAGAAGTATTTGTTTCGACTTTATAAGTATGTTAGACTTTTTAAAATCGACTAAAAAATAAACGTGTCACATAAATCGAAGAAGTAACTAGAGAGGAAAAATAAAAATTTAAAAAGCATCAAAGCAATTGTCAACCCCACAAGTAAGAAACACTACCAAGTAAATATAAGGCTAGTACTTTGGTTGAAAAAGACATATTGGTTTATTGAACCTCTTATGAGAAAAGCAAAAACAAGGCTGAAAGCTTCAACAAAGTTTCGTTTTGGTGCTCTCACAAGGAAAGAAGACAGACAAAGCTAGCTACCTAAAAAGAAAGAAAGAAAAAGAAAATCATTGAAAAGGATTTTTATTTTTTTTCTTCTTCTTCTTCTTCTTCTTTCTTTATATTATGTGGCTCTTACATTAAAGTAAGAAACAATAATACTATATAATATATGATGTGTTGTTCAGAATAATCCTTCTTGATGGCTGGAAACCCTAGTAATAACTGGTGGAACAACATGTTGATGAACACAAGCATGCATCCACATGATTCTCATGAGCTTTTTTCTTCTACGACGACGACAAATCAACATTTCTATGGATCTTCAAATTTTTTGGCTGATAATAATCCAAGTCAAGATCATTTACCTCGCTCATGGAGCCAGCTACTTCTGTAAAATCTCCTTCTCTCTACTTTTTTTTCTCGTACGTAGTTAGTTATATATACAGTCAACTTGTTTGAGACTGAGGCGCAGTAATTTATATTGACTTCTTGTTGTTGTAGTTGCTATAGTGAGTTTGTGTAGAGAGTTCAAAGATTAGTAGTCTTTGTATTTGCAATATTCTTTTTGTGTCAAGCTTTACTCATTGAAGCTTTTACATTTACCAAACAATTCAAAAAGCTCAATTACTTTCCTATTTCTAAAAATTTCATGCTATGAGTTTTATAGATCGATATGAATATCATAAGTTGTCTCATAGTAAAATCAATTTTGTTGTTGATACCTTCTTCTTTGTCTTTTTTCTATAACTAGAGCTCGAAGAAGTAAAGGGATTTAAACAATAGAATATGGCTAGAAATTCATAATAGAGTTCAGTCCGACCACAACAACGACTAAACCTAGTAGAAAGAAAAAGTGAAAAATCATTACAAAAGAAACCTATAGCTCCTTTATATTTCTTTTCTATCAAATTGGAATCCATATGAATTATGTGTTAATTAATTTTAATTCTCCTCTAAATTACTTTTTCCTTTTTAATTAAATTTCAGGTCTGGATTATCTTGTGATCAAGAAAAACCTGATATAAGTGATCATTTTCAACATCAATACAAGAAGCTGGAGAATTGGGAAGAAATCCAAAATTTGAATTCCATCCATAATAATAATAATATCCCATCTAATTCAAGTTTTAGGGTTCCTTTTTTTGATGTAAAACCAGAAGAATTAGTGAGCCAAGGACTGTATACTAATTATCATCAAGATTTATCACCAGCTAGCTCTTGTGTTACCACTAATTTAAACCATAATAATATTTTTAACTTCTCATCATCTCCTGCTAATAAAATTACCAACAATAACAAAGTGGTTGAAGTCAAGCATCAAGACCATTCATCTGAGGTAAGTAAAAAAAAAATTACTTTTAAAAAAGTGGATTTTTTTCTTCATATTTATTGAATTTTCATAAAGTCAGTAAGTAAATATCAGTATTATTCCAAAAGGAAAAAAGTGATTATATGATTAATAAAAGCCAAACAATCCATGATTAGCCTAACTAATTTTAGTCATAGTAAAATTTTAATTACTCAGTGAATTTTAACATGTGATAGTAGTCTAGTTACTATTTTTTACTAGGTTACTAATTAAGTACTGTATTTGTTAAGAGATTTGCTCGTAATTATCTAATAAGTGATCTGATTTTGTGAAAACATTTTTACATCATTTTAGTATGTTTTGCCTAATCTGTTTTTTTTTAAAACCATTATTAATTAATAACTTTGCTGCATGAAATATAGAGTAACAGCACAAACAGTGGTGGGGTAACTAAGAAGGCTAGAGTTCAGCATTCTTCAGCTCAACCCTCTCTCAAGGCAATTCTCTCTTTCATATACAGTAACATCTTTGTCTAGATATTTTTTTATGGAATAATTACGTGTCTGAATCGTTCGGTAATCTAGTTTACAAAATATATACTAAGTATATATACACAACATATACATTGATAGTGTATATATAATGTATACTTCAACCATTTTACCATTGGTCGAAGGATATATATTCGTAACTTTCCTTTTTAAGAAAAAAACTATTATAGAAAAATATCATTATAGAAAATATATAATATGAAAATTCGTTTTATGAAAACTTGGTCTTTTTTTTTTCACCTGGTATACAAAATAGTTAGTTATCAACATTAATTTAGTTTGTTTATATTCGGAATTGCAGGTGAGAAAAGAGAAACTAGGAGATAGGATAACAGCACTCCACCAACTTGTTTCTCCATTTGGAAAGGTAAAGTAAACTGAGTTTAACTTTATATATACATCTAATTTTTATATTGTCATTATTTTTACCTGTTGTTACAACAGGTAACTTGTCTTATTTTTATGGAGACTAATTACGTGTAAATATCATTTAAACGTTGATGTTATGAATAAAATTTACTATATCGATGTATATAAATTCAGTTGAACTCATAATTTTAATATTTTTTATTTTGTAAACCTACTAAAATTATTATGTAATTTCAAAAGTATAATAAATTTATTGATAAAAATTATAAGAATTGAATCGATTAAATTTAAATCCTACCTCCTTCCCATAAGGAAGACAAGTAAAGAATATTTATGACTGAAACACTACGAATTATATTTTTTTTTGTAGTACTAGTAGTTTATGATGAAACAAATAAAAATGATATTACAAAAACAGCACTTTAATTTTTGTTTAAAAAATAGCCATAAAGGATTGTCTTTAACTAAAGTGATTTATTATGAGAAAAAGAAGAAGTGATAGGCATGGGTATATATGTTTTCTCTTTTACAGACTGACACAGCCTCCGTCTTGTCAGAAGCCATTGGATACATCAGATTCCTTCAAGCACAAATTCAGGTGACTTCACAAAACCTAATTTCTAAACTACCTTTTTTTTTTCTTTTTAATTATGGTGTTCGTGTTATCTTGAACGTACTCTTACACTAATTTCATAGGGGTATTTGCTATTTTCTACCAGCATAGTAACCAAGCAACTCTATGAAACAAATTTGAATCGATAGAAAGAAATCTCCTACTAATATATTTGCCTCCGATCCACTGAAATTTGAAACTGCGATATCAGTTCTTAGCGTACTTCATTAACCATTAATTATTTCCGCTTCTTACTTTATACTCTTATCATCCCATTTTTATATGTGGAGCTCTTTTTATTTTAGTCTGTCGTATAAAGAATGACATATTTCTATATCAAGTAACAATGTGCACTAAAACATGCAGGCATTGAGCTCTCCATACATGGGCAATGTAGCAGGAAGCATGAATCACACTCAACAACAATCTGCTGTAAGTTCTTTTCCTTCACATTTTCCAATAAAAATCACCAATATTCTCTTCTTTCACATCCATCATCATACACGTGCATCTCACTAATCATATATATATATATCATGAATAACTAATTTCTTTCATGAATTCAAGGAAATAAAATATGTATATACTACTTAGTTGTTTAATTAAGAAGTTGATGCTTTATTGGATCCCTAACAAAAAAAGCAAGCTTTGAGATTGAGGCTAGCTTTGCATTATTAGTAGTAAAAAGCAGAATCAAAGTATTTATCATCAAAATTTACTATTCAAAAAAGAAGTTGTCTCTATATATAGTGCAGAAGTTGCCAACTTTATGAGATCACACAATAATTCAATTTCTTGAATGATCCTATGGATAAAATCTTAATTATTATTATTCTCAATAACTTTAAACTCTTGAAATGAGTCCTTTCATATATATATATACCATAGTTTCAAGCTAAAGTTACTGAGTTTTATCGTATCCATAAGCAGAAATGTAGCTCCACCCATTTCATCTTAGTTATTGCATGTTGATTGCTTCCTCTCTTTTTTTCAGCACCATATATATTTATCATTTTGCATCTATTTTCTTATAATATGGTGATTTGGAAATAAAAATATTTCAGGATTTGAGGAGTAGAGGATTGTGCTTGGTTCCTATATCTTGTACACAACATGTTGGAAGTGACAATAACAATACTGTTGGAGATTATTGGGCCCCAGCTCTTGGAGGAGGAGGATATTTATAATTATTAATTAATGTAACAATTTTAGTGTTCCATAATATACTGATGTGTTGATGATGATGATGGTATTATATAGTATATAACATCAGAAGCAGTCACTCTCAAATAAGTTAGTTAGGGTTGACTGTTGCTGATGCTATATATTATATTTTGCATTTCTAATTAAGTGTAGGAAGGAACAAGGATATGAGTCTTATTGTATGGTCCAATATTGCAATTTTATTTCATGAATAATCATAAAATTGTATAAGCTGCTAGTTTGTAATTGTTGTATATACATTAGAGTTCATTTGGCTTTAACTGATTAAAAATATATAGTTGATATATGCTAGTGTTTTTGTGTTTGAAGCTGATTTTATACATAAATAATTACGTGTTTAAATAGAAGTGTTGAAAACGGATATAAGCATTTATATTTGATACAACTCTAAGCTAACCTATAATATAATGACTAACATATATGCGTAGGAATTTAAGTTACTACGATAAAATTGTGTGGTAAACTCATTGAATAGTTTAGAGTTGACTTTTGTGTTTGCTATTTTGAGTTAAATACAAGTTAAGTACTTAACGCTTTCCCTAATTAACCAGTGAATTAATGATAATTGGATATTAGTAGTAATAATTGGTGTGAAAAATAAAATGTGCATTGGGCTCGTACATCTTTTGTTTGAAAGTAAATTAGGTTAAGATAGTTTAACTTAATTATTTCAATGTCCTTACAACATATTTACGAATGTGTCCTTTTTTATTTATCAACTTATACGTATTAAAAATAGTAAACAATAACATATTCAGTGAAATTCTACAAGTGATCAAGGTTTGAGGATGGGAAAATGTATGTAGACCTTATCCATTCCTCGTGGAGGTAGAAAGGTGGGTTCATCAGGACCCTTGATAGTTGATTCGAGTATAACAAATCAAGGAAGGTATGAAAAGATAAAACAATAGTAATAAAATATAGGAAACAGTAACAACAACAAAATAATGTGATAATTAAATTAATAATATTGAGAAAAAAAATTAAATCTTGATTCTAAAATCTATCCTCAGAGAATTTTTTTTATAAGAAGTGACGGAAATCTGAAATAAAGTTGTTTTTTAGACCATATATAATTATGTGATTATCTGAAAATTAACCAGTTATTTGCTAGTATATCTTTTATCTGATCTCCAAATTAAGTATAATATATAGACTTGTACCACTTTTTCCTTTATGATGTAATCATCATGTAATAATTATCCTGACAAAAAAAATTACATTTTTCTTTTGCTTATAAGTTACTACTACTTATAACTTTTTTTAAAAAAATGAATAGACACTAATTTATATATTATGTCGTACGAAAGGGGAGGGATCTACTATTGAAGGTGGGATTTGCAAGGTCACTCCACTATCATTTTCCCACCAGCAAAAAGATAAATTGAATTAAAAAAATAATTAAGAGGATTAAATGCAAAAAGTGATAAGACTAGTGGTGTACTATTGTTCATTTTGTCCAATGTCAAACCAACACTTCTAACAATGTTGTTATAGAGTGGTTAATTTATTACTCCCTCCGTCCCTATTTACTTGTCCATATTTCCTTTTTTGGTTGTCCCTATTTAGTTGTCTATTTTGACAAATCAAGAAAGGACAACAAATTTTTTCCTATTATACCCTTATTTACACTTCTTGAAAATTGTAAAAGTGTATGTTGTTTCCCTCCAATTTATTTCACTTGAATTCAAATAAGTGGTTGTAATTTTGAAGTGAAAAGTTGTCATAAGGGTAAAATTGTAACTTCACTGTGCTAATCATTGTTGCCTTAATCTGTGTGCCATTTCTAAAGTGGACAACTAAAAAGGGACGGAGGGAGTATTATTAGATAATTCTATCTATCGATATATAAAAAGAAATCACTTATTATTTTTATTTCTTATTACAACAAAAATTTACATTTCTTGGTGACCGAGCAGCGAGAAAGGAAGAAAATTGAATGCTGCTAAACAGAAAGGATCTTGCTCCCTCAGGAGCGAGTTGTCCGTTTCGTTTTTAAAAAAATAATTAGTGTTCCTTTATGCATTTTAGAGGAAAAAGATGTTTTTTTGGCTCTGGATTCTTAATAAAGAGTGCTAAAGTCTTAAACAACATTAGTTAAGTATCACTATATCCAATGTCGCTAAAGACTTTAGAGACACATACAAAGTGTATTGATTGCCGCTAACCGTTACTTTATTGCTACTAAAGATCATTTTTATGTGATGTCTATTGAATATAAAATCTCATAATTCTAAACCACCTCCTTCGTCACTAGAACATATTCTTGAGTGTTGGTAGGACATATTTTTACACTTAAAATAATACTTCTTAAAAGCCAATACAAATTAGTTTAACTCCAAATAAAAATAGAAAAGAAAGTGCAAAAAAGAAATAAATTAAGATAAATGTGGCTAAACAGAGGTCAAAACAATCATCGATTCATGATCATGTTAGAATAAATATCAAAAAGAAGAAGATAGAACCATTATGTTGTCTACTTGTGTTTTATTAAAAAAAGTGTTTAATAAAATATACACTTATTTTATTTTATTTTCAAAGTCAGAGAGAGTCAGCTTGGAATGACAAGTGGCTGGTGTCGTTACCAATTTTGATTTCACTAACCAAAGAGTTAAATAAAAATAATACTCTCCTTTATCTGCTGGGCCATTCGAAAGCGGCGATCCCTGATTAAGAATGAAACACTCTCACCAGTGCACCATAACTCATGTTGGTCTTTAAAATAAGCATTACATCAGCTCATTTCACCTTCATTAATAAATAAATATATATAATATATAATTTATTAGATATTTCTAGAGAATTAAACGTATTAAAAAGATGAATTCTTTAATCTAAGGGTAATATTTATATTTTGTGAGTGTAACCCCTCCCCCCAAAAAAATCTTTGGTAATGGGCTGGGCGGCTAAGTTCTATAATATATTCCATTCAATAGAAAATGGATTGATTTTTAAGTCTTTTTGCTCATAATTTGCATTGCAATATGTTTATATTTATTGGATATTCCAAGGCATCCTCTTAGCAAAGAGAACAATTTGGTTTCTAAATGTTAAGGTGGGGTCAAAATTGGTCACTAATTTATCGTTAAATTCTATACTGTTTTTTGCGATTGAAATTATTTGCTCATCCGTCATCAAAAGCTTTTTTTTAAAAGTGATTTTACAAAGGTTATTCAGAAATTGCAAACACGGATCCATTTGAGGCATCTGTAACCATTGGGCTACAGTAGCTTATTGTGTCAATGACGTCCAAAATATGTTATTTAATCATTTCATATATCATTTTATTTATATTTACGATATTTTTTTCCGACAAAAGGTGTCTAATTGGACACTGACAACCATGTAGCTCTGCCCTTGAGCTGTTGATCCATGGGTAGGCAAGAGACAACATCGGTGGCGGAGCCACCTTACAATTAGGGGGTTCATCCAAATCCTCTTCGACGGAAAATTATATGATTTATACATGGTTAAAATATTTTTTTAGGTATATATAGTAGATTCGAACCCCATTCGACTACTTTGTGTGTTTATTTTTTTAGATTTTGAACCCTCTTATTAAAAATCTTGATTCCACCACTGAACAACATAGTGAACTGAAATATCTTAGTAGCCAGAGGAAAGAAAGCAAAAGTAATTCCCGTGTGAGTAACCTAAATTGTGAAAACAGAATTGTGGAAGAGCAATATAAGCGTAGTGTTATTCCTTATAATCAATGTGCATACATTAAAAAAAAGTCTGGGATAATTTTTGGGATTCTTTGGTTTATGTCCCTTCGGCCAAACTTAATTATCGTGCCTAACTTATACAATATTTGCTTGCTATTTTGTAAATTAGATCATTTGAAGTTATTGACTCATTGAGTTATGGTATTTGTTGGGCTGCGTAAAAATTCCTTATTTTTTGGTGAATCTTATATAATTTACATAAATCTCATAGTGTTAAGAGTTAATTACATTATTTCCCTTACAAAAATCTCTTAAAATTTATAAATTCTGGATACATCATTTGGACTTCCAGATAGATCAGTGGAACTTCCAGATACATAGAGAATGGATGTATCCAAGAGGTAGGAGATGTATCAGAGAGGGATAGGACATCCAGTTACATCATTTGAACTTTCGGATACATAAGTGAAACTTTCAGATACATAGAGAATGGATGTATTCAAGAGGGGAGAGATGTATCAGAGAGGGATAGGACATTCGGATACATAGAGGTGAGATGTATCCAAGAGGGGAGGGATGTATCAGAGAGGAGAGGGATGTATCTGAGAGGTATAGAAATGTATCAATGAGAGGAGAGTGATGTATCAAAGAAGGAATTTTTTTCTAAATGACAATAGAAAACTTTAGAAATTATGGTAAAATAAGATGTTGTAATGTGGAAGACATATCAGTTACTAAATCAAAAGCCCAACACAGAAAAATTGAGTTTGGGGTAACAGGCCCCAATTAGTCTGGCCCATCCAATAAATAAGGTCAACGCTCAAAATATTGTTTAGTCTTGAAAGTAGCAGGTAGATAAAGTGGAGTCGGACGAAATTCTGAGTTTGTAATAATCAAATGGGCACAGAAAATGGTGATAAATGGAGGAAAACAGCTGTTGTTGTCATAGATATGCAGGTATTTCTCTAATCTTCTTCTGATTCAGCATAATAGTAACTAACAATCATTTGTTGAAGATTTGTGTGTTTGAACTTAAATTTCAGAAAGATTTTATACTACCAGGTGCTCCTATGCTTGTTAGAGATGGTGAAGCTATTGTCCCAAACGTTATCAAGACCGTTGAGGTTGCACGAAACCGTGGAATCCCCATTATTTGGGTATTTATTTAAACTTCATGATTTTACTGTAAAGTTAAATTTTACAATATTAATGGAATTTTACCTAAATTGAGCTTCATATAGCCGATACCAACTGGAGGTGTAGTTGTTGTTGTTGTTGTTATTGTAATGGATTATTTTAGGTTAAAATGGATGGTTACGAGTAGTTAAACTAATTTCTGACCAATAAATCAATTTGTGTTAGGTTGTCCGCGAGCATGACCCATTAGGAAGAGATGTTGAATTGTTTCGTAGGCATTTGTACGGTGATGGGAAACCAAAACCCACATCAAAGGGGTGTGTGGGAGCAGAACTGGTTGATGGGCTTCTTATTCAGGAAGGTGATTACAAATTGGTGAAAACACGTTTCAGTGCATTCTTTAACACGAATC